CGATGATATTTGTCCTAATACAAAGGACTTTCTTTCACCACATTGTTCCCTTTCACAATGGCCTTCAAATCACAGGAGGCAGTTGATGCCGTGCCTTTCCTCTTCTTTTATTATAGGCTGTGGGGTTTCTGAATCAGAATCCCGCCCTCAGTCTTCTCATTTATAAATCAAATTCATTTTCAATCCATTGTTTAGAGAGAGCGTACTTTTTTCTGTTCCACGAAGAGCACTTTTTTCTTCACTGTGAGGGGAGAGAAATTCAAAAGTGTCATTTTTATCATTTTTACTAAAATATATCACATTCTAATGCCTCTGCTTTTTCTTACTTTACAACCCCACTGACATGAAATTACAGCTGATTTGCAAACTCAGCTCCTTAATCTCAGAGCCCAGAGAAGATGGGGAAAATGACAGGAAAACAAGGGAAAGGCCAATCTCTGGCGCCTTTGGTACTACTTGGGTTCATATTTCATTCCATTTGAAATAGTCAATAAAAAAATAGGAGCAAAAATGAAAAACATGGAAGCTTGGAATAGAGCTCAGTGGCACAGCGCCTGCCTGGCAAGCACAAGGTCCTAAATTTGATTTCTGGTACCAGAAAAAAACAAAGAAAATATTCAATGTCCCCACCCAGTTGATAGAGATACACTCTCTACCAAGTAAGCAAAGCAAAGCTGGAAGCTATAGACTCCAGAACAGCAGCAAAAACTGAGCAGACCACGAAGAAAATAACAGCCTGGTGAGAAGAGTAGCTACCATGGAAACTCTACTTCCCAGAGCCATTCAGTACACCCAAATTTGAATGCTTTACTTTGATAAGTATTAAAACCAAAATATTGCAGAGTAGTTCCCTAAAACAAAGCCAAGAGAAAGGGCTGTCTGCTTGGATGCAAGACTGGCAGCTAGATGCTATGGAACAGGGTGTCCGCAGTTCCTAGGATGCCCTACGGCCTACCGCTAACACCCACTGCCACGCACTCCCTCCCCTACCACCTGATTTCACTTGATGCCATAAATAAACCAAAAAATATATAGCCTAGAAAAGTCTAGAAACTCAAAAGACTGTGACCTAACAAGTCATTAACCCTGCCATACAGACAGATACTCTACCTGACATTCTCAAACGGTCTACACTAAGGAATTAGGAATGGGAATGCAGCTCAGTGGAGCGG